GGTTTAGGCTTAGGTGGGCTCCAGGCTCTTCCCTGAATTCGAATTGGTCTAGGGTCCAGCAATTACTGGTCCAGGCTGGAAGAATGTACCCCAGGGATTTCCCCTGGGTTCCATTCATGTAGTGGAGGAGCCAATTTCTGTGCAAGGATATGGTGTAGTACGCCTTTCAGTTTAGTTGGGCAGTGTCTTTGGTCGGTAAAGTCTTTGTACCCAGATACTCCTCAGGCTTTCCAAAAATGTGGGTTCCTTTAATTCTTTTGTCTCTCCACTTTGCTTGTGGAGGGAATGCTCTGGTTGGTGCCTGTGAATGCACTAGAGACTGTGGTGCTGGTGATTTCTTCCTTATATTATTATATTCAACCTCCCGAGTTCCTTATCTGCTTTGAGTGTCCAGTTTAAATTCTAGCAAAGTCCCCCTTTATTTTTCTTTGTTCACTCACTTTGCTGAAAAGCTGCCTGTCCGATTTCTTGTTTTCATGCCATGGAGCAGCCAGGAAAGTGACCACTATTCCACCATCTTGAAGTCCTATCAAATTTTAATTTTTTTTTTTTTTTAATTTTGAGAAAGGCTCTCACTAAATTGCTGAGGCTGGCTTTGAATTTGCAATCCTTCTGCCTCAGCTTGCCAAGCTTCTGGGATTACAGGCATGTGCCACCATGCCTGGCTCCACTTGATTTTTTAAACTTAGTTTTCCTCTATAATATTCCTTATACCAGTGTCCAAAATGGGCATTGTACAAGTTTCTGCTTTTGTGTTTTCTAATGATGCCTTTCAAACTGGGGAAATAACTATGAGGTGGGTTCAGGGACCTACTTGACTTCCTGGAAAGAGACCTTACCCAAAATTGAGTTAAGTTGACCTCCTTGACTTTTGAACCACAATAGCATCTTAGATCTTTCTGAATTAGTGTCTTAGACACATTCTTGTATTCGTGAGATAAGGTGCCCCTGGGAAGTAGAGTTAGTTCCCCCTTGCATATTGTCACCCTAGCAAATGGTTGCTTGTTTCCTTGAGGAAGACTAGGAGGATGATTTACATTTTTTAACAGTATGTCAGGGTTCCTAAAGGGACCTGTCTTCTTTATTCAAGGGGATCTGGGCCTGTGAACTAGCTCAAATCTGAGAAGTGGTCAAGGGCCAGTACTCTATTTTTGTCCAACTTTTGGTAATTAGATCTAGAGAGTTTCTACTTATACAAATAAAATAAGACTTAAGTAAACATTAGTTCAAGGAATATGATGATCAGCTAACTATGATCAGATGACATTATGATCATCAGTTAAATAGCTGATACTAGTGATCTCCATGGGTCAAGTCTTTTTGTTTATTGCTTTGACTCCAATATCCATTATGGATACTTGTATCTGAAGATTAATAGTTACCACTTGAGCTCTATCCCCCAAGATTCAATCACTCCTATTGAATTCAGGGAACTCATTTGATTTCATCATTTCCTACTGTTATTCTTGGCTTTTTTTGTATGATTAGGGAATGCTTAATCACTCACTGAGCCACACCTGTAGCATTATTTATTTATTTATTTATTTATTTATTTATTTTAGTACCAGGGATTGAACTTGGGGGCACTCAATCACTGAGCCACATCCCCAGCCCTATTTTGTATTTTATTTAGAGACAGGGTCTCTCTGAGTTGCTTAGCACCTCACTTTTGCTGAGGCTGGCTTTGAACTCGTAGTCCTCCTGCCTCAGCCTCCTGAGCTGCTGGGATTACAGGCATGTGCCACAGTGCCCAGTCCTTTTTATTTTTTGAGACAGGGTCTTGCTAAGTTGCTTAGGGCTTTGCTAAGTTGCTGAAGCTGGCCTTGAACTTGTGATCCTCTTGCGTCAGCCTCCTGAGTCCCTGGGATTATAGGCATGCACCACCATGACCAATTTATTCTTGTCTTAAAAGCCATACAGAGTTTATCAAGCCACACAGTGTCCGGGAAGGGTTTGGCTCCCTTCACCAGCATGTTTCTCAAGGCTTAATAAAGGAAATGTTTTTTGGAGTCTCCAAGGGACATAGAGAATAGATGAGTAGAACTTACATAATAAATACTTTCCATATGTTAGCAAAGTTATGAGCCATTTTCCTTAAATACTGCAGAATGAGCACCAGTATTTGCAAGATAATGAAGATGTTTAAGACCTCAGTGATTAAGATGAGTTAATATGCAGAATGTAGTCTGAGCTTAAAAAGTATAACTGCCAGCAAAAGTATGTTTATGTTTTAGTGCTTTTAGAATAAGAAGGAATTTTTTAATCAATGCATTATGTAGTGAATGTTTATTTTTTATTGGGTGAAAATAAAATCCATTTGAATGATGTTTTCTATTTTCTACTACACAATCAAAAATTGGCATCAAAGAACAGGAACCCCCTCCATCATGTTCTCTTCAGTTATCTTTTAAAAGAAGCTCGGTCTTTGTCTTAAATTCTGTTATTTCTTAATTCTCCCCTTTGGGACTCTTGCAGGAGACAGATAAGAGAATGAAAAGGTAGATGAGATAGGTTTATCTCATTCGTTCCTACTTACTGCTTTTACTGTGAAACTATAGTTTAGTGAGGTAATCATAGCAGCTTGAGTTATATCATGTGAATGTACGAATATGTACAAAGCATCCCACTATTATGTATAATTCTTATGTACCAATAAAAAATTAAAAAGAAAAACCAGTTGTTTATATGAGTCATGTAAAAATGTTTACTTTTTGAGATTGTCTAAAAGGAAACATTTAAATAGAGGGTTTTGGAACCTTTTCTTCCCTGTCCCTTCTTTTCGGCTACTAATTCAAGGAAAGATTTGCCAAAGTTTAGCCAGAGTTGAAACCTACTTACAAATGAGGAAGAGAAATTGAAGTTGAAGTAGGGAGTGATTTTGTGAAAGTATAAGCAGGCACCTGTGTTCAGAGACAGTGCGTAGGGAGAGGGAAAGAGAAAAACAAAATATTTGGAGTTGCTATTATTGAAATATTAAGTGCTCCTGACATATCTATCCTTCACTTGGTATTTGACCTTTGAAAAGCCAGTTATGGCCACTGTTTAAATCTTTTTTTAGGGTTCTTTGTGTATGAGTTTTTAAACCTCCCTCCGATAGAATAGTTTTAATAGTCCAATGTGTTTTGGGCCATAGTGTAGAGATTACAATTTTATTAGGTTAAACCAAATCAGTCAATAAGGTTCTTTTATTTATGGACATTTATTTTATTTGTAAGCATTTTGCCATGCGAAGGGACCAGTAAGTACTTTTTTTTTATTATAGATATTGGTGGGACATAAAGCATACTTTTTACCTCAACTAAACGTTATTTATAGATATTTTTAGGCAAGAATATTTTATGTAAAATATAAAAATGTGCCTAGGTCAGTAAGGACAGGGCACTTTGTCCCTTTACTCCTGAACACTGAAGGTGATTGCATTCTTCTGAATTTCTGGGAGGAAGTTTTCTTCTTTATTGTAAAAACTAACAGATTTCCTGAGTGTCCTTGAATAATTTATTCATGGGCCGCTTTGTGTAGTGGCAAAAGAAAAGAATTTTATATTACATATCTTGTGCAAGAGAATAATTTAAAAAATTTTATTTGGTAAGACCTCTAATGAAATTTTTAGTGAGTTGTCTTTCCAATTCATACTCATAGCCATTATCATGGCTCAAACTGCATATTTTTTTCATAGCTGGAATAAATGTTGTTTTCATATTACTTTCAGTTTTTAAGTTAAATATTATTCTTCTGTTTAAGAATATCTAATATGTATCCATACATAAGATAGTATTTAAATATACTTCGATAAATGTCATAAATTTATTGGTCCTTTCCCTGAAATTAAAACACTAAATATTACCAATACTCTGGGATGAATCAAGTAGTCTGTTGTTAACTGAGCATTTTTTCCCCTTTCCTGTTTTCTTTCCTTCATTACTTCCTTCTCCTATCTTTTACCAGTTCCAGTCTTTTAATGCTTAAAAAAAGATGAATGATCTTATGAAGTGATTTACTATCTCTCCCTCTTATTAAATTATAAATTGTATATAGACAGAAACTACACTGACTTTGCTCACCTCTGTATGCCTAATGCCCAAGATTAGTAAACAGTAAGAATTCAGTAAATTAGTTGAATGAATGAATCCTAAAACATATTATGAATTCTTCTTTTTAAAGTTATATATTGAAATATTTAGATTATAAAATATGAGGAAAATTATAACAGGAAATGAAAATATTTTTAATATCAATGGCTTCCAACCAAATTTTGATACTTTTTTTGACACTTAAATAGTAATAAAATAAAAAATCAATTTAAAGTGGTTTTTGAAACTCAGCTTTTGATTAATTTGAGTTAATATTTAGAATTGTATTTGACCACATGAACTTAATTAGCTCAACTAATTTAACTTAGAGACCAGCTAAATTAAAGTACTTTGAGGGTGTAATATGGAAATACTCATATTTTTACAATGGTTTTAATTGAAACATGATGTGGGCCATGTAGATAATCACATTTTTTATTGTTTATTTCAACTTGTAACTTGAGAATTTTAAGGATTGAGGAATATTTCCAAGCATAATAGAAGAGTATATACTCTTGGGTTCAAAAATTGTTATTTAAGCAAAATAGTATATTATAAAAGGCTTGATTGATCAGAAACACAAGGTACATTTATTCAGTTTTCCAAAACAGTGGTACTCTAGATTCATTTAATTGTTGGATAACAGGTCCATATGAACACTGCTATTAGGAGATATAGAGAAAAAAAAGAACTAATATTATATGGGTTGATAAGGTAGAAAATAGCCATAAATTTGAACTTGGTATATTATTAACTTCAGTTTGAGCACTTGTTTAGAAAGACTGTTACTACTTGGCTATACAGCAGTATATTAGAGAATAAAATTCTACTCAATGTTTTATAACATCTTTCACCTCTAATTGTAATATCTCTGTTGCTGTTTGCTTAGCTTTTGTGCCTGTGTGACTTTAAGGGTATATTTTTCTCTAGGCATCCACAAGGACAAAGATAAACCTCCCAGCTTCCCTGTTGTCCTTGAGACTTTGAGGCGTACCTTGACAGATTACCAGAACAAGCTGGAAGATGCATCTAATGAGGTAACACTTGCACTGTTTGGCTCCACACATATAGCCTTCAGCCCATACCAGTACGTATCCCTTGCTTATTACAAAGGTCAAAAAGATTGGGAATGTTGAATTGACAGCTTCACAGATACAAAAAATAATAAATTGTCTGTCAGTGCTCTTTCTTTAAGTGTGGCCTAAAGTGTAGTGTCTCACTTATGTTTTTGTTACTTATCAGGCTAACTATTATTTTCAAAGTTATAAATACTCTGCCACTTCTTGGACTTCATAATCTGTTTTAATTTACTAAAATAGTTGTGCAAGCTATTTAAGTGAATATATGTTTTATTTAAATGTAATGTATTTTATGATATGTGAACTAGGTAGTGGGAATTTAGGTTTTGTCAGTATTTTAGTTGAAGAATTCTACAAATTATGGAAAATGTAATAAAAAAGAAAGCAGTTTTCATTCTCTAAAGGGAGTAAAGTGTTGTTAGAAGTTGCTAAAAACAAATATCTGTTTGATGTATCCTAGAAGCTTTTAGTTTGCTGATTGAAAAAGCTCATGCTTCTATTTATCATCTCATTTGTATTGTTTAATGTGTGAGTTGATAATTTTCTTGGGTATTAAAATGTTTTATGAATTCATGCTTTAAAAATTGAAGAGTTTGTCTAGTTACATCTTGTCAAATTAGCATATGAAGTAATTACATTAAATACAGTTAGTTAGCAAAACAACAGATTGTTCAGCCAAAGACAAGTAACATAGCATACAATTAGTGTTTTTTCTTTTAGATAATACAAAGGGCATAAAGCCATTATATTTAACATATTAGTAGTAGCTGATTTTATTTTAGTTAGCTAAGGTAAACAAAGGAGGAAAAATGAGTCAACTTAATACTCTTATAATTGTTCAAAAGGAAAATCAGAAAGTGACCATTGAAATAATTAAATTTCTATGAAGAGCAAATATTGCTAAGTCTTTTCCAGTGCTACAAGACAACCTGTATTGTTAGTAGTTTATGAAACTCTTCTGAGGCCTGGGTCTGGAAGCTGCAGGGTAACTAGGAACATATTACCCACAGCGAATTGTTATTTGGGAGGATGAATGTCACATGATCCTCAGCACAGTTGAAAAGTCGACTCAGCAGGCTTTGGCTTAGTAATGTGCTTTGTTGTGAACCAGTGCCAGAGACAGCAGTGGGGAGACCAAAGGGGTGGCTGCAAAGAAAGCAAAAAGAGCAGTCTGACAGAAAGAAGAATGAACTGTCAAATAAAATAAATCACAAGCGGTGCAGGACCAACTGATGACCTGCCACAAGCCTTCCCAGTAGGACTGCATGTGACCGACCCTGAAGTTGTCATATGGAGTGAGAGACCACTGAATACCCTCATGATGTATAGAAAAACAGTCTTCTGCTCTGTTCTTTTTTCTTTCTTTATAGATACCACTGCTTCTGGCATTTTGGTCCAGTAGGATTTTAAGAATAAAGTTATATTTGTTTACAGTAAGAGTGAAATCCTTTATCCAGACATCTAGTGAAAATACAATAATAACATCACTGACATTTTAAGGTTGAATACTTTCCTTTTTAGCCATCTCAGCTTGTGACAGAAACTAAATGTAATTTAACCAAAAGAGGTATTGTTAAGACTCTTTATTAGTATCAAAAACTTTGTGCTTAGTAATTGCATAAAAATCACTTAAAGGTTAGCTTTTGAATTACCCATTCTTGAAAAATGTTAAGTTACTTTTCTTTCATCAGATAAACAGCATGAATGATGCTAAGGAAAAGACATCTAATGAACTTGATTTTACCAAACAGAAGATTGAATCTCACACTAAAAATATAAAGGTATTAGGATTTAGAATAGCTTTTCCCTCTTGTATTAAGAAGCAAATGTAATTATTTAGGGACTGCTTTAAAGAAGAGATATCTGAAAATACATCTTCTTTGTTTTAAGTATATTTGGATACATTTTTAAGTTTTGTTGATCATAGTAACAACAACGTTTTTTGCTTTTAAAGAAAACTTGGTTGGAAATTATTTTGGTTAAAAGGAAAATAATTTCTCTGATATAATACCACAGATTCAAAAAATAATTTGAGATTTAATGTCCTGCCTTAGGTATATGTTAATTATATTCTTCATAAACACATCTGTATTTGGAGTCACTTTTCCTTATTTTAGGGCAGAACCATTGTTTTTAGTACATCATGTCTGGTAATGGGCTGAGGCCACATCTGGCTAAGATCCAGAAAAAGTTTATTTTCTGTGCTTGTTTTATGTACTATATCTTTGCAAAATTTGAGTTGCTGAGTCTTGTTGGAATTTTATTGTATTGGTTCATGTTGAGTTTGTCATGGACACACTTCAATAGAATTTGTTAAGGTTAAGGAACTAATAGTTCAGCAAGGATTTATGCCACATATTTGAGATTTGTATTAGTATAGAATATCAGAGGAAAGTAAATGTTCTTATATTAAATGTTAAAAGATTTATTTTTCAAAATATTACTTAAAATGTTATTAAAATTTTTTGAATCACCAAGTTAATTTTTTATGAGTTTTAAGTAAATCTCCCTTCAAAGAGCTTTTGGAATAAGCCATCTTATTAACATTTTATGTAAATGCTCAAACGTAACCGATTTTCTAACTGTTGAGCTAAAATATTATACATAGAAAATATACATAGTATAATACCTTAGTGTTTAGCATTACAAGTAAGTGCTTGATTCTTTTGTATTAGCTTTGAAAGTTTTCATCACATATTTTGTATTTGTATGCCTGCTGTCTCCACTCTCTCTTGTATGGTCTACAGTCTATTTATGTTTCTGACAGGAACTTCAGGATAAACTCACTGATGCTCATAAAGAATTAAGTCATTTACGCACAAAATGTGCAGACCGAGAGGCTTTAATAAGCACTTTGAAAATGGAGCTACAAAATGTGCTGCACTGTTGGGAAAAAGAAAAGGCGCGAGCAGCTCAGTGTGAAAATGAACTGCAGAAACTCTCCCAGGCATTCCATAAGGACACTGAGGTATTACCTGAAACTGGAAGATGGCTGGAAAAGGCTTTTCACTAATCTCAGTTTTGTATTTTTTATGCATCGATATGCACCAAGTGACTACTAATTTTAATTAAAATTGTTCTCAGGGCTGGGGTTGTGGCTTAATGGTAGAGCACTTGCTTAACATGCGTGAGGCACTGGGTTCGATCCTCAGCACCAAATAAATAAATAAATAAATAGGTTATTATGTCCAGAGAGTTAAAAAAAAATTGTTCTGAGCGGGGTGTGGTGGTGCATGCCTATAATCCCAATGAGGCTGAGGCAGGAGGATCACAAGTTTTGAGGCCAGTCTCAGCAACTTAATGAGGCTTTAAGCAATTTTGGGAGATCCTGTCCCAAAATAAAAATAAATAAATACAAAGGTGTAAGATGTAGCTCAGTGGTAAAGTACCCCTGGGTTCAATCCCCAGTACCACAAGGAAAAAAAAAGTCCTAAAAAAAAAAAAAAAGAAAAGAATTATTCTGAGATTAAGTATTTTGAAATTTTCATGACAGCTGCAAACTCAGTTATTCCATTACACGGGTGTTATCCTGTTTTGTGAGAAAAGTAATATAGTTCAGCCCTCTGTCACTTGGACCATCAATTTTCCTTGACTCTTTAGATCATCATATCTCAAGCTGCTAAGTTCCTAACTGTCCTTTTAAGGTTTGCCTGTTTGCCAATGACAAAATTATTTTTTATTTCAGAAGTTCTGCAGCTCTGTATGATAGAAAGAGTATGATTTTTGTAATCAGGTAGACTTGACCTGAACTTGAATTCTGACATTTCTGTTTACTAACAATGTAACTGTGGACAAGCCATACAGCCTAGTCTCTTTACATCTCAGTTTTCTTATCTGGAAAACAGAAATAATATCTATGTTAGTAGACTGTCTCTAACTTACTCTTTATAATTATAGAGTATTAACAAAAATTTAGGAAATAAAAGTTTCATAGAATTTAAACTTCTTTGCAATGGAGAGTTGTCTGCCCATTGTATTTATTAATGACTTCTTAAAATATGATGATAAAAATTTCATATGCTGAAAGAGCCTGTGTGAATGGAATTATTATCTTATATTTTCTTTAACCCATGGGATATAGATCTAGTGTAGCTAGTGGAACTGGTTTATCTGAAGTTGTCCTGCATATTGAGTTCATTACTCTAACAAATAGGAACAAGAATGCCAAGAGAGCAAAAGGAAACATTCTTTCCACTCTTCTTACATCTGGGATTTAAACTGTGTTCACATGAAGGGGTTGGAATTGTTCTACACATCAGATAATGATTACAGTAAAGGAAACTAGAAGCCTGACTATATTGTAAAGTCAGCATGTCTACAGCGTTGTGGCTGGGTTCAACACGTGTGAATTGATTTTTGATCTTGTGATTTTCTTTGCACGCCAAATGGATGATTATCATGCTCGGTTTATTGTAGCCCAAGCAAAAAGGACATAATGGTGACAATGAATTTTTCTTGAGGATGAATGTGATCCTTTGGCAAAAATGTGGAGGAGAAAGATTTTAGTGCCTGAATATTACATTTGGGTATTTATAGTTTTTAATATATTTATTCACTTCAACCTAGTGCAAAAATCATCTTTCACTGTTTTTTTAAAAGGACAGGACCGAGCTGGGGACACAGTTCAGTGGCAGAGCGCTTGCCTGGCATGTGTGAGGTCTTGGGTTCAATTTCTAGCACTGCAAAAAAAAAAAAAAAAAAAAAAAAGATAATGCTTAGCACATTTACAAAACTTTTTTTTCTGATTTCTTGACTCAAATTTGTGGTTGTAACCACATTTTAAAATCTTTGGTTTTAAAATTATTGTATTTGGAAAAAGCAAGGTGGCATATAGAATGATTTGATGATACACATTTTGAAATATTCAGGAAAGCTATTTCTACAATTTCTAATTCCAACACGTTTTTATATGCTGTAGTTTTTTTTTTTTTTAGTTTTTTATTGTTGGTTGTTCAAAACATTACAAATTTCTTGACATATCATATTCCACACTTTGATTCAAGTGGGTTATGAACTCCCACCTTCACCCCATACACAGATTGCAGAATCACATCAGTTACACATCCATTGATTTACATATTGCCATACTAGTGTCTGTTGTGCTCCGCTGCCTTTCTCATCCTCCACCCTCCCCGCTGTAGTTTTTTTTTTTAATCTAGAAGACAGACTTCTCAATTTTTTACTTTTAAATTTCTTTTAAAAAAAGTTTTCTTACTGATCTATAAAAGCATCTCGAGGGAACTTATCTATATAGAATATTCATTTTGCAACTTCACAATTACCTTGTCTTTGAGTTCTATGCTTTGGGACTCTATAGATGAAATACCTTATAAAGAGGGCCATTTGACTCTATAGTAGTGAATTCTTGTGTGTTCAAGATAAGATCAACTGTATCCATATTTCAGAGCACACTAAATATTTTTAGGTCATTCCATAATAGATAGTTTAGTTACTGTAATAATAATATACTTTTAAAAGGTCTTTAAAAAAGCATATTTCCGACTGGACATTTTTGAGAATATTTCTTAGGCTGCTATATCCACATTTTTTTTTTTTGCCTGTAATGTTTAAACACCTACAAATGCCCAGTGTGGCACATACTGTATAAACTTATAAGTGGGAAAAACAAATGAGTCCTTCTTCCATATCTTTTATATCACTGTGTACTTCGCCTAAGGGGCTTGGGATAGATTTCCTATAAGTGGTAAGGAAACTGGACTCTCTGGAGTAAGAAGAAAGATAAGTAATTGTGTACATGTAAAGTACAGATATTGGTAAAACTTTTTCTTCATCAGAGTTGAATAACACTCTTTTCTGTATTGTTTGACTTACATGTTTTAGAAAATATAAGCATGAAACTATAGAATTACCGTACTGACTTCCAATTAGAAAGGTTTAAAAATTATGAATCTGGACACCTCATGTTATATCAAGGGAGCTTAGACCTGAACAAGGTGCCTACTCAGACCACATTCTCATGAACAGCAAAGCTGGGGTTTGAACCCTGGTCTTCTGGCTTCTACACAAAGTTTGGTTTTGAATACCAAGTATAAGAATTCCAAGTAGTCTATCAATGCTTGGTTTTGAATGTGAAAAAGTCATTAAAGGACAGTATCTGAAACTTGAGTATTTTAATTTCAAAGTTTTAAAAATAAATTCTTTACTATTTGTATTTCCTGTCTTACTTCTTATAATGCTTACAAACAAATTAATTTGTCTTTTTTCTTGCAGGAGAAGCTAACCTTCCTTCATACCTTGTATCAGCACTTGGTAGCAGGCTGTGTGCTCATAAAACAACCAGAAGGCATGTTGGATAAATTCTCTTGGTCTGAGCTTTGTGCAATCTTGCAGGAGAATGTTGATGCCCTCATTGCAGACCTCAACAGGGCTAATGAGAAGGTAACTGTCCTCAGGCACCAGATACCTCTATTAAATTCAGTGACATTTGTCCACATCACAGTATCATTAAGAGGGGCTGACATTCATCTTATTTCAAAAAGAATTTGGATGTTAATAATTCAATACCATTAATTATGGCTTGTCTACAACTCAGTTTGATGCCATTGCTGTGGGCATGTAAATGTGACTGAAGTCTGTATGAAGTCTCTAAGCTCCACTTTCTGAGCAGGACATGCTAATACTACTAGCCAGTATTAGCCACAGGGACCTAATTAAAAGAAAATAAATTAATCTTACTGATGAAGCAATTCAAAGAACTTAGTCATTTACATTAATAAACCAACTCTTTATGTTAGCATAAAATAGAAACAGGATACAGTTATTCAAAAACATAATCTTAAAATTCTTTGCTTAGAAAATATGAGGTGTTATTTTAAAAGCACTTAGAAAATTTTAAATTCTGTGCTTATGACTTATTTTTTGAAACACAACAATCTATATATGAGAAAACCCAATCCATGCTTTAGAAGGTAAGATGTATATTTTGTAGAACAAAATAGTAAACTTTTATGGTCACTTTACCATTTCACAAGCCTAGGAATTTTTCCAATAAAGAAAAATCCTGCTTTTGGTTACAGAAATTTTTAATGACTTAGAAGATCAACATATGTCAATGTCAAAGGTATTGTTTCTTATCCTGAGTCTGTTGAACTGGTTAGAACTGTGTTTATTTGGTCTTTTCTCAGTCGTAGTTAAAATGACATTTGCTCTTAAGAGACAGGAAGGGAAAAACTGTAAGTTTAAAAAAAATCTCTGAACTAATAAAACAGCCCAATTTCAGGGTGAGATTTCTTATTGTTGAACATTTTACCTTGATCCTATTGAGAAGTACTGAGAAATGAGAGACTAACTTGTAAGACGCACAGATGCTGTTTGTGATTGAGAATGTATATATATATATATAATTGGTTTAAAATTACTGATAATTAAAATGGGTGTGTTTTAACCCTCTGAGATGGTAATGGTTAAAATTTTCACAGAACGTCATTAATTGTCATAAACTTTAGAAGATAATATTTTTCTTTTCAGTGTTTGTTAAATTAAATGGTTGGAATATTTAGCTTTATAATGTGTAAAATATTTGCAGATTTGTAATTCTCTTTTGAATTCTTCCTTTCCCATTGAGATATCTGAATAGCTGGAATTCTGGTTCCTGAAGTAAGAATAGCTTCTTAATCATCTCATTAGAATTGATTTATAGAATGAATAACTTTATCATAAAGAAAAGAATAAAAATTTATTGTCTAAGTCTAAAAATGTTATAATTTTCTGCAAAAATATGATAATTCCTATTAGTATATTTACATTTTAACTTAAAAATTTCAGATGATATTAACAAATAAAATATAGTAGAAAATATGGAGTGTTTTTGTGGTGGAAGTGATTTGTTAGTATGTCTCACTCTGTTTAATTTCTTCTTATAGATAAGCCATCTAGAGTATATCTGTAAAAATAAATCTGACACAATGAGAGAACTTCAACAGACTCAGGAAGACACCTTTAACAAAGTGGCAGAACAGATCAAAGCCCAAGAGAGCTGCTGGCACAAACAAAAGAAGGAACTGGAACTGCAGTATTCTGAACTTCTCCTCGAGGTACAGAAGAGGGCACAGGTATGCTACTGTACAAAAAGCTTTAAAAAATGGATTACTCAGTTTGGTCACTTCACATGTTTTTCATACCAACTCCAAATCAGTTTGAAACTTTATGAGAACCCCACAGAACTTGTTTAGGCGCACACACACACACACACACACATCATATGATCATGTAAACATGTACAAACCCACAGATAGGTGTTTTGTGTGTGTCTTAAGATTGTCTTTACTTAAATTTGGAAAGATAAATTTTTGGTTAAAATATCTCAGAATGCATTGTTCAATTAAATGCTAAAATTGTATATCTTTTATTTTAAAAATAAAAGGTTAAGAGATTTGTTAAATATTGTCAGTGTTAGTGTAATTATCCTTTTATCCAGTTTACTCCATTTACATTTATGGGGGTTTCCACAAGAACTATCATTTTATTCATTTGGTAATGTTATTTGTTATATCTAATAACATTATACAAGAGCTAGGGTTACAATTATAGGCACTGTTGCAAGAAAATTGACTTTGAAATGTATCTTCTGTGTTGGATTTGGCAGAGAATAGAAGTTATAGGTTGTTAACCATGTTTTTCCCATATAAGTTATTGTTAACATTATATATATTGTTAACTATCATTCCCACTCATCATGAATAAAATGATAATTGTGTATATATTTATATTTTTGGTATTATATTTATTAATAGGCCACTTCTGTTTCCATGATAGGTTCTTAGGAGCCAGAAGGTTGTGATTCTTCCCATGATTCATTTGGTATTTAATGTCTTAATTTTGTTCATTCAGGGTTACACTGGCAAGTCTTATTTAAAAAAAAATCCATCTACACATATACACACACATATATACACAGATGTATATTTATTTATGTATGTATTTAGTTTTTATTTGCCAATAACTGGTTTCATAGTGCTTGAAATCAGACTACTCTGTTTTCTCAAACTTAAGGACTCCATATAAACTTAGACCTTTCTATTTGAGTTTGAATGAATCAATAAATATGCTTTATAAGAGTAGTAATTTATTCACTGTGTGCAGACCATTATATGATGTGTTGTCTATAAAAGACCCAAACAATTTATTTTTTTGGAGATAACATTGAAATACAGTGAAGTACATGGATTTTTCTTTCTTTTTTTTCTATTTGTTCTTTTTAGTTATAGAAGACAGTAGAATGTATTTTGACATATCATACAAGTACGTGTTGTGGAGTTTCACTGGTTGTGTATTCATATAAAGTACATGGATCTCAAGTATGTAATTTGATGTTTTGATTAAAGATTCATGTAATGATTACCCTACTTAAGACTTGAAACTTTTTCATTACTCCAAAAAATTCTTTTGTGTTGTCTCCAAGTCAGTTTTCATTCTTCATAGGCAACCATTGCTCTGATGCCTGTCATCATGGGTTAGTTTCAGTAGTTTTTGAATTGCATATAAATGAAATAATTCAATATTTAGTCTTTGGTCATTGGCATATTTCACTCAATGTTAAGGTTTTGAGTATAATGTTATTCATGTTATATCTAGTTTCAGTTTTCTTTATAACTTGGTAGTATTTGGTTTTACAGGTACACTGCATTTTTTTTTTTTAATGCTGAGTATTGAACCCAGAGCCTTATACATACTAGGCAAGTGCTCAAACACTGAGCTATTCTGAGCCCCATTACCTCACAATTTGATTGAATGTGAATTGATACATATTTGAGTTCTTTTCAATTTTTGGCTTTGTAAATAAACTTGCTACAAACATTGTTATGCAAGTTTTTTTTTTTTTTTTGGTACTAGGAATTGACCTCAGGGGTGCTTAACCACTGAGCCACATCCCTAATTCTTTTTATTTTGAGACAGGGTCTTGCTAAATTGTTGAGGCTGGCTTTGAACTTGTGATCCTTTGAATTGTTGGGATTACAGGTGTGTGCCACTATGCCTGGCTTATACAAGTCTTTTATCGACATACGTTTTCATTTTTCTTGGTTAACTAAGAATACAATTGTCAGGTCATGAGGTAGAAGTATTTTTATCAGAAATTGCCAAAATTTTTTTTTCAAAATGCTTATGTTGCTTCATATTCCCATTGGCAACATATGAAAGTTTCCATTGTTTTAAATCTACTGCAGCATTTAGTTTTGTCTTTTAGTTTAGGCATTGTAGTAGTTTTAAAATGGCAACCAAAAACCTTGGGGAATGTTGCTCAGTGGTTAAGCACCTCTAGGTTCAATCTGTGGTACCAAAGAAAACCCCATTTCATTATGTTTTTAATTTACATTTTCTTGGTGATTAACTTTTCATACACTTTCTTGCGATTTTCATATCTTAATTTATCAAACATTTCTTCAGGCCTGTGTCCATTTAAAAGGTTGAGATGTTTATATCTTATTATTGAATTGAAAGAGTTCTTTATATATCCTGTGTACATACCCTTTGTTGTATGTGGATGGTCCTCAAGTTATGGTTTTACTTATGAATTTTTGAATTTACGATGATATGAAACTGATATGCATTCAGTAGAGTTTTGTGGGGTTTTTTTTTTTTTTTTTTTTTTTTTTTTTTGCATTTAGTAGAGTTTTGATCTGCTCCTGGGCTAGTGAGATGCAGTATGGTACACTCTTATTTGGACAGTGGCAGCAAGGTGTCATTCCCAGTCATGATTACTGGGTAAATAATAGTGTACTGTGTTGCTAACCTATGATACTTTATAGTTCAGTTGTAATAAATGCATTTTCAATTTATTGGGACATAACCCCATCATAAGTTTAGGAGGATCTGTATATGTTTCCTAGGTCTTTTTTCCGAATCTCTCATTCATCTTTTCATTTTAATGTTTCTTTTGATAATCACAAATTTTAAAATTTTGACAAAGTCAAGCTTATATGTAGTTTTCTATTTTGGTTATTTTTATGTGCTCCATAAATTTTTAGTACTGCAAGGTTTTCCTGTAGAAGTTTTATGGTGTTAGTTTTTATATGTAAGTTTGTGGTCAATTGCAATTGGAGTGTGTGATCTTAGGTACAGGCTAAGGTTTGTTTTTCCTCTACACTTATTGTTCTCACATAATTAGTTCAACACTTTCCTTTCTTCATGGAATAGCCATAGTATATTTGTGAAAAAACAGTTGACCATGTATGGGAATCATAGTTGTTTTTTTTTTTTGTGTGTATCTATAGAGTTGTACCCTTTCTAGAATGTTACATAAATGGAATAAAAAATAGCCTTTGGAGGGCTGAGAATATAGCTCAGTCAGTAGAGTGCTTATCTTGCATGCCCAAAGCCTTGGGTTCAATCCCCAGCACTACCACCTAAAAAAAAAAAAAAAAAAGCCTTTGGAGTCAGGCTTCTTTTACTTAAAAAATATATATTTGGCTGGGCATGGTGGTGTCCGCCTGTAATCCCAGCTACTTGAAAGGCTGTAGCAAGAGAATTGCAAGTTTGAGGTCAGCCTGGGGAAGTTAGTGAGAACACCTCTGGGTTCAATTCCCAGTATTGTAAAGAAAGGAAGGGAGGGAGAAAGAAAGGAAAGAAGAAAGAAAGATATATTGGGGATTTATTTATGTTCTGCATGTATCAGTAGTTAATTCCTTTTTATTTCTGGGTAATATTCTGTTGTATACCTGTACAACTGTTTATCCAGAAGTATACTTGATAGATCTTTGGGTTGTTTTAAACTTGGGGGGTAATTATGACTAAAGATGCATTAAACAGTCATGAGGAGTTTTTTTTATGTGATCCTAAGTTTTCATTTCTCTTTTGTGAATGGGTAAGTGTATATTTAACTTAAACTGTTAAATCGTTTTCCAAAGTGGCTGTAACATCTTGAATTCTCCCTATCAGTATAAGAGTTCTGTTTGCTCTGCATCTGTGCCAGCCATGTGTTTTCATTTTAAATTTTAGTCATTCTAATAGGTGTATAGTGGAATGTCATTGGTGTTTTCATTTACATTTTCTATAATGAGTTAAAAAAATTGAACACTTATTTATATGCTTATTTGTTGTGTGTATTCTTTGACGAATTATCTGATTAGGTCTTTTGCCCTATTTTTAATTGTATTTTTGTTCTCTTATTGCTGAATATTGAGGATTGTTTATATATTTTGAATTTGTCATTTGTCAGATATGTTATTTGCAAATATTTTCTGCCATCTTTTTAGTAGTACTTTTGTAGAGCAAAGGAACATTTCAGCTTTGATAAAACAGATGACCATATTTTTAACATTTCCTTTTATAAGTTGTTCTTGGTGTTGCATATAAGAATTCTTTGCCTAAGTGCATGGTCATTAGATATTTTACTATTTTTTCTTCTTGCCATTTTATAGTTTTAGATTTTATATCTAGGCCCATGATCAATTTCAGGTTAACTTTTGTAAATATCTGAGATTTACATTCAGGTGACTTTTTTGGGGTGGGTGTGTGGATGTCTAGTTTTCCCAGTACCATTTGTTAAAAAGACTGGCCTTTCTGTAACGAAGTTTATTTATATGCCTGTCCTTTTTTTCAATACTGGTTGAATTAATGTAGCTTTTTTTAAGTCCTTAATTCAGGTAGTATGAGTCTTCTAACTTTCTCCTTTTCCTATAAGTATCTTGAACACATTTATTTTACTCTGGATTTGTAGGAAGCTGTAGCAATTCACTTTTGAAGTAAGGGAATCATCTATCATCATAAATGCTAATGTCTTAGGAGAAGTTCCACTGAAGACTTTAATTTGAAGAACTTGTTACACTATAGGTTTTGATTCATGTGACTGTAAATTAAAGCCATCATTTTTATTATTCACTCAAAGGGCATTAATGTGGCATATACTCTTTATTATGCACATATTTGAATTTTCATCAAATATAATGGAATACACAGCAGCATTCATTTTGGTTTTATATTTGGTAAAGTGGTATTATAATGGATATTATAAGACATAAATTTTATTTCAGAATTTTTTTATAATTAATTCTATAGATCTGATCTCAAAAAACCTGCAATGGAAATAAAATAATTTCATTTTATATTACTTAAT